ATATATATATATATATATGTGTGTGTGTGTGTGTGTGTGTATGTGTGAGCTCGCTTAACAAGCCACACTGACAGGGCGTTCACGTTATTTCTATAGTTCCGTCACATTTATAGTACGCATGAATTAAGACTGTGCGCATCCAGTTGGTTCGGCGAAATTAGCTCTCTTGGAATGAGAAATCGGGTAGTTTTCTTCTGGTTCGGGTACTTCCTCTATTGGTCTAAAGCACATGTGGTGAAAACATTTACTCCTGTATTTATGAGGCGAGTCGCGTAGTCTGCGTAGATCTCTTAATTAGACTCCACAACTACTTTACCTATTTAAAGAGCCAAGGAATAGTTTGCATGGTTAAAGATTGTTCTCCTGCTTTGTGTTATAATGTGAGCGGAATCAACGTTCATTTCATGTCAAGAGTTGCCCATATGTCGAAACATTTCTGAGCAGATTTGCACCAGACATTCGGTGTCAGCTCCTTCTGGAAGACAAATGAACAGTTTAAGAGCTCATTTTTTGTGTAACATTATCACATAAAGCGGGTTTATAGGCTGACATATTGTGCAAATTACGGGAGCAGTCCAACTGTGCGCAGAATTCAGAAGTAGAAACACATAACCACATTTGTAATACTATTCCTACCCACACGGAATACCGAAGGAACATTTTGCTCAAAACTTATCATCCATAAAACTAATACATTGCTGTTTTATGTCTAAAACTCCCCACCTTCTCATGACTGAGAGATGTCGTTTCAAATTTCGAACAGTAGAGTTAAACAGATCCATTGATTAAACTTAAAAAAATATTTTACCAAAATTTGTAGAAGTTTGGGTGAAGAAAAGTAGGGGCAAGAATTCTACTAGATGTTTGAATTAAAAGATGTGGAAATTTTGGGTGACAGTATTTGACTGGAAGGACATTCGACGACCATCACTCCACTCATGCGCCCAATGGAGCACGAGTGGAGCTCTCACGCTGCATAAAGGCAGCATTGGCTTCAAGGTCACGAGCGTGCACACGCTCTGCGTATACGTACGCACGCGTTCACCCAGGGGCTATCGACGCCCCGCATATTTCATATTGCGCGCACACGCGCAGCCGCATTCCTATTCGACAAACTTGTGCGCCAATTCGAGCTCGCATTGGCTGGCAAGCAGGAATTCAGCCTAGCTGGCGTATAAATACACGCATCTGCATATCACTCATCATTCCTCTTTTTGTCAGTATACTAAAAGTTAGCAATGCAGAAACTCTACTACTTTCTCGGATTACTACTTTGCCTCATTTCGCTCACTACTGCAAGACGTAAGTACTGAGCTGTCGTAACCTATCAGCTTTGTTTCGGAATGAAACAGAACTTATTTTCTATTTCGTACTTTTGTAGAAAGTCTCTATGTTCAAAATCTCAAATTCTTGCCACCCTGTGAAAACAACCCGATTGATGAAAGTAGGTGTGAGTTTGGGTTATGCTGAGTAATTTATTGCCCTGTATTCTATTCTGGTAGGGTAATGCACGTTTTTCCTCCTTTTATTTTGTGTAGGCACTGGAAATTTCAAGTGCATGGTCAAAACAGGGGCTGAATGTTTCGCTCTCTGTCAAGAGCACGGCTGCTTTGAGTGGTCGTTCACCTCCTTCATGGCTAGCACAGACACCCAACTGCACCAACACTATCGGTGTCGGTGTGTGCAGAACATCTGCCTCTACAATTACGTTAGGGCGAAGGATCGGGCCTACTCTTGAGTCGGGGTCAGGATTGGGCTTTGCTTCGATAGCAGAAGCAGCCACAGCGTTTGTGATTGTCGGCTTCACACATCAATCTGATCCTTGTCTCGTCCCCGGGCAGTTGGTAAAAAAAAGCGGCTATCACAGTGAACGACGGACTGGAAAGTTCTTGCGGCGGTCAGCTTCGGGTGCCATGACTACCATCAAGAGTCCAGACTGTCTTTATACTCCTACTGCTACAATTAACACCGATCCTGTCTATACGTGTGTACGTATGTTGACGCATTTGTTTTTCGCTAATAATACCACTTGAGTCTCGTAACAATGAAGTTGTCTCGTCTTTTGAAAAAAGGGACGGGAGCTCAGGCTTGCCAATTCTCATGACTGAAGGGGGGGAGATTAAAAGGGACGGTTTAAGAGGGTGGAAGGCCAATGTTTTAATGACCGACGTCTGAATTGCTTCGACGGACAAAAATTTAAGCATTGAAGAATCGCGCTATTGAGATTGAAAGCGTAGGCGGAACCGATGCCACGTGTCTTTTTACCTCGCCCCCACCCATACTAGCAGTAAAAGGTGTGAGTGGGTTGGGTAATGAATTTGTCTTTCTGGTGACGTTGAATGTAGTTTGCATATGTTAGTTTTACCGCTGTCATTTTGAGAAAACACCCCATGCATGTGTGACCCTTTCCATACCACGCTTGGTCGGATAAGGGAGACACTCATCCTATGCTTGTTAACTCCTTTCCGTTTTCTGTCTTACAGATGTCCAGAACAAGGTTGGCTTCCGATAACTCTAGTATGAGGCCAAGATGACCTGATAAGTCGAGAGCCAGTCAATTTTGGTGGACATTTTCCCGTCCATGGACTGGCACAACCAAGCTCTGGCCTCTAACAGAAGACCCTTTCCGAGTTAACTCGCTCCCATGATGCGTGGCATGGGACTTTTTATTTGACTATCCGAAAGTACGAGGGGCAATTGTGTACTGTCAGGTCGTGGTGATTGTTATCATGCAAACTGACAACACAAATAAGGAAATAAATAGATTCATCATGGCTTGTTTATTACGGCCAATGAATGCAATTCGAGATTAGGAGGTCGAAACAGTTAACCCAACCCACCATTCAAAACAACATTATGAAGGTCAACTTAATGACTGGGCATAAAATAGATGAAACAAAGGTAATAAATAAGTTGGGGTTTTGTGTATGGGAGTAAGTGGAGGAGCTTATGAGCACAAAGAACGAGAGAGAGAAACGGAGGGAAGGAGACCTATCTTTGGCGATAGGTTTTAACTCACCCACGCGAGTAGAAGGGAGTGCTAAAGCGAGAGCGAGAAGTGAAAAAAAGGGGATAGATGTCACCATCTCATCCGACAACATGCACACTTGCCCACCTACCCTGTCCCCTTCCCTAAGGCTCGCCTCGCCTCGCCTCTTCCTTCTCCTCTCCCATCCCATTGGCCAACGCATTTGACGCACCACTGGAGCCGCGCCATTTAAACCGTCCAGCGTCAAGTGCCTCCCACACACTGAAACAAACGCATCTCAGGAAATGGCCATGGCTCAAAGGCTTCTCACAGCTTCTCTTCTTCTCTTTCTCATTCCGTTTGTTTCGGCACGTAGACGTAAGTCTGCATCCTTACTCCATTCCCCTTTCCTTCCTCCAGCCGGCACTCTACACTCTGCCCTCTCCTCCACCACCTCCTCTTCATTTCAGCGAATTACTACGTTCATGGGTTGAAGTTTTCTCGCCCTTGTGAGAATAACACCTACGATGAGAGTGAGTGATCTCCATGGTAAATTTTTAATCATTTTCGTGTTCTCCCACCTTTTAACTAGCCATTGGCATTTACCTTTCTTCTCTTCTTTGTCACAGTGACGGGTAATTTCAAATGCACCGTTCCGACAGGAGCTGAGTGCTTTCAACTCTGTCAACAATATGGCTGCTATGAGTGGTCATTTTCCTCCTTCATGCCCAGTACTGACACACAAGTACGCGATCACTTTCGTTGTCGGTGTATACAGGACATTTGCCTCTACAACTACGTGCGAGTCAGAGATCGCGACTACGCGTGATTTGATGAGGACGACCACCACCTACCGATGATACTCTCCTACTACCATTGCTACTGCTGCTTTGTCTGTAGGCTATTGTGCATTTTCTAATCTTCATTTTCTAAACAAAAAAAAAGAACATTTATTTTCCTCTCTCTCATCTCCTCTATGTGCTTTAGTGGAATGAAAAGGTGAGTAGTGCAACAAATACCTTGTCTACACCATTCCCATACCACCAAAGGGATGGAAATGGTCTACTTGAGTCCGCATTCCTCATTCCAGATCAGCTAAGATCTTAACTGTTGCACATATAAATGTTGTGTTTATTCGCCGCCTCGTAGATGTTTATGATTTGGACCTGGATGTCTTGAGGGGAACTGGGGATGGGGTGGGGGCGGAGAAGGGATGGGGAGGGGGCTAGGGGAAGGGGAAAATCTATGACTTTGGATATGATGGACCTCGTGGTTGGGCCATCCAATTAGGTGGCAGTAGTCGTGGCGAGCCATGTAGGAGGGGAAAGTAGGGGTTGCCCTTTTTTGTCTGCTATATTTTGAGCATTTAATGCAAGATTACACAATTTAACTTTGTTTAAAGGCGAAGACATGGAGAGTGTTCTGACGCTCTGACACGGATATTGGAGGGTGTGGCTCCTCTCATTTTATAGTCACATAAATGCACAAACGTACACTAACACACACACACACACACACCCACACCTAATAGGTTAGGATTCACAAAACTGGCAGAATTTATTTATAGCCATAAACACACTTGAGGCTCCAATGGGACAACGTGAAGCCTCCCAGAGACCTCTCCAAGCCTCGAACTGGATTCACATTTGGCGGCAGGAAGAACTCAGCAGAATATCGAGACGCAAACTGTTTAGATGGTGTCAAAAGTTTTGAGGCGACTAAGTAGAGAAGCCTCTACCATTCCATTTTGACTGAAGTGGCAGATCAGTGTCGGGAAATTCGGTAGAATGACTGACTAACGACGGCAGCATCTAACAGTAATGAGGATAATTTTGTCTGTTACACTTTTGTACGAGGTGAAGGGGAGAGGATGAGGGAGAGTGCGCAACACTGACTAGACGTGATCTATTAATAGAAATGCTCTGAAGTGTCCCATAACCCCTCAGCATCCATGGGAATAGCAAAAATGTAACTTGCCTCACTTCCCTTCTAGGTGGCATGCTTGGTCTGTTCTCTAGCAGTGATCACCCTTTCGACAATTGAAGTCAATCAGCGCCCCGAGGACCGCATTGGTTGGAGCCAACTTATGGTAAAACCCTTACTAAGACTACAATCTCACTAGAAGCGATTTTGGAGCTACAAGGTTCAGTCGGAGTCACATGAAGCCGTGCCTACACCGATACGATTGATGGTAGGATCTTTTTTTGGTCTCGAGAGTGTTTCAAGACGAGGGGTACGATTGGTTTGAAGACAGGATATGGGTTAGGGCCTGGAGGATCAAGTGTTAATCAGGAGGGGGAGGAAAAATGTGCCTCCGAGGGGCGAAAACTCCCGTTCACACGAAATTGGCATTTCGAGGTAATGTCAAGGAGCCCCCTTGTCAAGTGCTGGTAAATAACATGCAAATACACACCTCGGATTATGTTTCAAGTGTGTGAAGAGGTGGAATAAATCAGCTGTGGACGTCCCTCTCGGCGCGTACACAATCCAACACAATGGATAGCAAAGGCAAAATTGGGGAGAACAAAAAATCTCACTTTGTAGTGCGGACTGGAGGTTGACGCAAGTGCTGTGGCGTGCGAGATGACAATGGCTTTGTGTTTTTACACTCGAAGGTAGCGAAGCTTTAAAAAAGTGGACTTCACATTCACTCCACTTCGATTTGTCATCGGTGGCGTCAACTACGGACACTCAAGCAAGCAAGGGGAAGAGGAGGAGGCAGGAAAAAGTGACGCCTTCTTGAAACACATCTCCGCTTTCTTCACCTCTAGGCTTAGAAGTTGCAAGCCAAAGTACGACGGTTTGATAATGACGTGTGGTGTTTATTTCAACCTCCCGATTGAGGGTGTTACAGTGATTGTGAACTCTCTAATAATCTAAACAATGTTAATAGCTCTGAGGGAAAGCAAATTTAACACCTTTGACCCTCACCGACTTAATTTTAAGGAGGGTGTTTTTGGGTGCCTGGAATTTCACAGAGCACTGTTAGAGTGAGGCAGCAATAAGGTGAACAGGAAGTTGACATTTCATGTGCCCTAACACCCGATTACTCGAATTTGTGATCTACACTGCTTGCATTTCAGTATACTACTTTCTACTTCACTTAAAACGCATAGTATTGTCAAAACTGTATATCTGAACGCAAAAAAAAACTACGGTGGCGTTGAATTTGAGCCTGGATTAAAAAAGGCGTCCCTGCGCACAGGCGTGAGGAATGCCAGAAGAGGGGAAGTGGACTTCGAATGCCTGCACTTAGGCAGGCGTGTTTTCATAGCATAACTTTGATAAACAAGCGGATTTATTTGGCACCTAGGCATTGCCAACTGATCCCAAAAAACCAAGGCCAACTCGCCACGTTAGTGCGGCGAGGAGATCTCGTGGAATGCTAAATGAGTTAATGGTGCTTAAATCTTCCCTTCCACACACATTATTTTGGGTTATGCACCACATAGAATTGGGGTTAAGCCAATTATGTGGAAGGGAGTTTGCTAAATACCACCTTATGGGATCTTGGAACAAAGTTGATTAACGCTGGAAGACGCAATATTGGCTGGAGAAGTAAAACTTCTATTTTATAAATGTTTATGGATTAATTTATGAGTATGTGATGGTGACTGGATAAATCACTAGCATTTGTAGTTCATTTCAAGACGATCATTGCTTTAAGTTATTGAATGTTTCATACTACTGAATGAACATCAGCGTCTTTGGATCTTTTACAATTAAAAATGATTTTCGGATCAGCTTACAACAAACCTATGCTCTTCTATAGATTACTTGACAAGTGCTATCAAAATAATTCTGCCTCTGATTTGTGAGTACAGGTTAATAGGCTTTTACAACTAAAAATGCACAGAGAATATTGTAATGCGAATTAAGGAAACAAAATCAACTTGTAATTGCTCCTTAAAAAATTAGAAAGCATAAATATCAAAACGTAAGGTGAACATGTATCTCACTACATCTAGCTGACTCGATGTGGAAATAACTAAAATTTGAAGGTTGCTACGTTCTACTGAATTTCTATCAGCGTCACCTCGACTGGATCATGTAAACATGAATTTAAGATTAATCCAGAGGTCTTTCAATCGCTATATGATTTAATAATTAAAAGCATGATTTGAATATCAATTTTTGGCCGCTTTCGTTGACTTATAAAAACAGAATACGCCACAAAGTGCATTGTAACTTAAGAATGGAAAAAAAACGAGGTATTAGGAAGTAAACATTTAATTTTAATAAAAATTGTAAATTTTATAAACATCTGAGTTCAACTAAACACAGGTGTACTCTTACTACTGAATTACCATCAGCGTCGTCAAAGTATGCTTACGTTAAAATAGGATATTTCCGTTAAATGTAAAGTACGAAAAAAAATGGTGTAGAATGAGACTGAGCACTTAAACAGGTTGTGCTAGTAAAAATACTACACATATTATTTGCTTCGTTATCATTAAAACGATGGATGGATTAAAACTTGCTTGCACAAAAACCAATCAACTCGAAGCACAGGACCGCACAGGTGACAGCGCTGAGGGAGTGATTGAATGGACTTCATTATCGGGATGAAACCATGACAACAGTCGGCTTCGTTGAGAGTTTTTGCTGAACCCGCAATGCGCAAAACGAGGCATACCAGAACGTCTAATTTCAAAGTCCAAAGGGGGTTGACGACCACCAGCATGACTGAAAAGCCGTAGTTTAGAGCGGAAGTGCGATTTCACCAAGTCTGAAGTGCCCGCGCAGTTATACGCACAGTTAAACGAACTATCGAAGCATCACAAGGCCATAGGCGACAAAGGTGATTCTTAAACTTACTATCTCGGTGATTTTCAAATAAGCGTAAAGTTCGGGTTTGGAATGGTAAAAACACTGGAGGAGGGCGGGGCACCACAATCAGGCCTCAGTATCGCACGCGACCTATTTTTGTCATTGACCAAAAGTCCCTTGAGAAAGCAATTATTTTGTAATAATAAGGTATAATTGCGCATTAACCAAAGCACTGGCTTAGATGAAAGGCAATCACTTTAAGTCTATTCAGGCAAGTGGCAGCGTTAACTGCCCTCATGTGCGTGTGTGTGCCCCCTTGACGCCGTCTAGACGCCCCCCAGTCGTCCTCCTTGGGGGGACACAAGGACCTGCACCTTCGAGCAAACCACGTGAAAAAGGCCAGGTGTTGACTGACCAGAGTCTAGACACTCTTCAACAAAACAAAATGACATATTGCACAGAGTGGTGAGAGGCAGAAGTGGTGATTTACCAAAAAAAAAAAATGCCTTCTATTGCGCGCACGCAAGCACAGACACACACACACACGAATGCGGAACTACACATTTGAAGGCAGGCATTAGCAGGTACCTTCAGGACGCTTTGGTTGGTGGACTGATTTAGCGAACGAGGTAATTACATTTCGAGCTCTTCATTAGTCGTCACAATGCGAAAGCCGTCAGGTGTTCTTGGCTTCAGTGGCCATCGACATTTGACTAACCCCATCCAGTGAGGCACTTCTCAAGAACTTCAATTCCACTCATTAAGGAGTCATCCGCATTTCCCAATCATCTGGTGGTGGAAAATTCGGTTGGGCAAATGAAGGCATTAAACAGTGAGTTTCTAGTGGAGGTGGGAGCAAGGGACAAAGCCTATGCCAAATGCCTTGCCATTGGCAGCAATGCAACGAGGGACCTCTCAAACACTCTTGCCCATTCCTACAAGTCGTAGTTGCCTTAAATTCAAGCTTAGAAAGAGGCGGAGGAGGGACGAAGACAGGACAGCGGCCAAGTCTCAGCAGGGAAAGGCGATTTGGTTAGTTAATGCAAGTTAACTAGAAGA